AAAAGAAAATGGAAAGTGTATATTACTTCTCCAGAAATTTATGAGACAGGCTCGAAAATTTTCTTCGTGGTTGAGCGCCGTGCACCGAGACGCTCCCGCCCCCTCCTTCGCGCCCAACTATGCATAAGCTCGGATCTCGACCTGAACGTAGGCACATGTCCCCAAACACTAGGGACATCCCACTCGCTATTTTATTAATTTCTACAAATCACCTTGGCTCATCTTCGAGACAATTCGACAGGCTAGCAGACACGGAGGGTCTTGGACTGCATATGACAGACGAAACAGGCTGGTATGACTGCCTGCTACCTGAAAGCCAATAATGTAGTTCTAGTGGTCTACCCGTAAAACGCTTCGGTACGCACGAAAACTAGACAGAGCCAAACATAGAACTAATAAAAAAGTAGGATCAGAAATAGGAAAACAGTTAGGTAGACTTAGCAACGCATATCAGAGAGGGCCACACCAACTCAATAAATTTTTCTCTTCCCACCCGCTGCCCGCCCGGCCACCCGTGCCATTTTCCCGCCTGCGTGGAACTCGATCAATGAAACTGTTGACCCCGGCGGCGTCGTCTGAATGGACCCCCTCCATTGGTGATCGATCGAAAAAAAATCAGCACCCTAGAGCAGGGACTCTATCCTCAGTAGTACGGTATTGAGCTGAACACAATTATTTCGGGCCATCGCAGTTCGCCTTGAAAAGAAGACGTCCCGTCCCGTGGTATGACCACCTGAGTCAACACCGTGCCTGATCGATCAAAAGCGAGACCCACCCGAACACGCCCGTGCATCGATTTCTTGGCCTGAAACCTTTCAACAACCTGTGCTCAGTCTCTACGCAGGGAGGAGCTCATAAAAGTTGAGGAGAGGGGCTCCCGTGTGGGGGGGGGGTTGACGCATAGGATCCAAAGCATTTACAATCATGATTGATATTTTCTTTTATTCTGAACCTAACATGCCCATACTCACTGCCCCCCCCCCTCCTTTCTTGCACTTGTATGTGAATTGATTCACCCAACCCGCAGTCTCCCCTTCCCCTCCATGGCAATATGGCTGGAGGGTAGTGGGCACTCTGTAGGAAGGCCTCTAGGACTGAACCTAAACAGCAGCGACGAACTCCGGACGCGAAATCACTGCAGTGCGCGCTGACTTGTCCGCTGACTCTGCCTTCTTGTCGCATGACGCGGCCTCCTGTCGGGTACCCGGGGAGGGGGGGGGGCAGTCGCGGCATGTACACGCCGTTTCCGCGAAATAGTGTCAACTCGAACATTCCAGCATCTCACGCATGACAAGTGATTCGCATCACCCCCACCCCTGAACCCTCTTAGTTGGGGGACCACGCGGCGACGTGGCGCTCTATTCGTCACCTCCTGCAAGGCTTAGTCCTCGATGGCGCGTATTTCGAAACTGCCACGTGATGGCGAAATAGTAACTGCCCTGGGGCTAAGCCTTTGGAGGAGCAGACGAACAGAGCGCCGCGCCGCCGCGTGGTCCCCCCCCCCCAACCAGAGTCAACCCTGCGTTGCGCAGTTCGCAACGGCACGTTGAGAGATCCTCAACGCACGCTGTATGGGCGGAGACACAGACGGCTCGAGCATGCGAGTGTGAATGTTCGCGCGAGAGAACGTGTCTAATCGGGCGAAACTGCGCAACGTGGCCGTTGAAAACTGCGCAACGCAGGGTTGACTCTGCCCCAACTACGATAGCATCGACGGACAAAGCGCTACGCCGTCGCATGGTCCACTCCCACCAAGTTGGCAACTGCAGTTCAAACTCAATTTTTTAGTTTTTACCTTTCTACAGTTTTTTTATGTAGTATCTGAACTGAAGTACGCGCGAAAAGAATTGCATGTTTCATAGCAGAGAAAAGAAAAAAGGGAAACAAATGAGCGATACGGCCAACAGATGTCGCATTTTTTGAGCTCACTTCGTGATATTAATGATGTGGAGCATACTGTACTACATCGTGTTCAAATTGAAGCTTTCTGCAGTGCGCGCTACGACTCCTCCGCTGACCCTCGGCGTCTCTGCTTTCTCGGCTGCGGCGCCTCCGTCCAATGTCGACCGTGCCGTTGGACAAAGTCCAACGGGGGGTCGTATTTGGCCGACGCTAGAGGGGGGGTCGTATTCGCAGGAGTCAACGTTGCAGTACGAAGAGGTTTTTGGGTGTAGATGACGAGAGGTGGTTTTCGCTATAAGGAACCTAATGTGTGTTGTGATGAAGCTCGCAGCTGTTGGCTCTTGCTGGGACCATCGAACGATTAGAATCAAGACGTTAGTTCTCGCGGCAGTAGGTGAGAGGTAAAACTTTTGAGTGCTTCTTCAAATATTGAGCACAAGCGAGTGCATGGCGCACATCAGAGCAGAAGAGTCTACTGCGAAAGTATCCATATTTGACTGCTCACGTACACAAATATAATTCTAGAGGTGAACCAATGCCTTCAAACTGGACCTAAGTTAATAAAAGAGTGACCTCTTTGGTAGATTGACTGCTAAAGGGCTACAAGAAAAGTTTGGGAACAAAAATATTTGCCTGTCGGCAACTTCTTGAAAAGGGTTTAGCATCTGTAATGAAGCACAAAGCTCGTGCGATGTCACGGTATCATAATTCCCGATAAAATTGAGTTTGAAGAGAGTTGTCAGTGTTTAAGTGTTGAAAACCGTGTTTTCAGGAGAGTAGCTCCGAAAATTCATGAAAAAAAAACGGTCCAACGGGGCGATTTTTTGACTCCTTCAACTTTGGAAAGAGTTCAAGTATTCGTTGGAAAGCTCTAACCTTCTACTCCAATCCAGGGGGACAAGAACTGCAAAAAGTTCAATCTGAAGAAAGTTATAACAATTTAAAGCCAAAAAACCAGCGCTCTGCAAAAAATCGGTCCGCGATTTCCCAAAAACGGTCCAACGGGGCGATTTTTTGACTCCATCAACTTTGAAAGGAGTTCAAGTATTCGTTAGAAAGCTCTAACCTTCTTCTTCAACCCAGGGGGACAAGAATTGCAAAAGGTGGAATTTGAAGAAAGTTATAGCCATTGAAAGCCAAAAAACCTGGTCTTGCGAAAAAAACGGTCCAACGGGGCGATTTTTTGAAGGAAAGAGTTTTTGCAAAAGCTTGAGCACTTTTTAGAAAGAAAACAGTCTGAGCTTTCCAAATTTTCTTACCGCTCCTCATAATTCCTTCTTTGAAGAAAGTTACAACCTTTCAAATGAAGAAGTGCGCATTTCTGTGAATTCTTTGTTCTCTACCCCATAACTGACGTAGTTTTGAAGATAAGGCATAATCGTGGTTACCTTCTGAAACAAGCAGTTTTGTAGATTACAAATCTACTTAGCGTTTAAGAAATATTGATATTGAACAAAATTACGCTTATTTGAAAGTCAATAGTCTGTTTCTCGCCCGCGCTGCGCCGAGGGGAAGATTGCGCGCGCCAATGCGAATGCAACGCCAGAGTCAACCCTGCGTTGCGCAGTTCTCAACGGCCACGTTGCGCAGTTTCGCCCGATTAGACACGTTCTCTCGCGCGAACATTCACACTCGCATGCTCGAGCCGTCTGTGTCTCCGCCCATACAGCGTGCGTTGAGGATCTCTCAACGTGCCGTTGCGAACTGCGCAACGCAGGGTTGACTCTGCGCAACGCTCCCGTGCTCCATCGGACACTTCTGCTGTATACTCTCATGCTCTGAGATGCGCCATGCACTCGTTTGATATGCGCTTGCATATCGAAATGGAAATTTTTTGTGATTCTGAACGCCCATTCATGAAAGGCAGGCAAAGCGCCATTCGAACTAAAGGGCAGTACTGTTTAGCAACTAATGAAGGCAGTTCGTTTTGCGATGTTATGCATTAGTAAATTACCGGATATCAGGAAACTAGAGCTTCGTCTGCTACTGTGTTTGAATTCAAGCCAAGTGTCTTTAGATTTTTGTAGATTGCACTTATTTCCCCTAGTGTTAGCTTTTCCTTAGCAGTGTACAGTACATAATAAGTGCGGGGGGGGGGGGGTCGTATGGAGACTCTCCAAGAGGGGGTCGTAAAAATTTTGAAATTGGTCCAGGTGACGGTTGACCCTGCCTCCGTCACCGAGGCGCCGTAGCCGACTCTAAAATCGGCAATCGTGGCGCTGAGACATCGTCAATACTCTCTTATTGTGACGGCCATAAGTGGTACTATTTATGCTCGCTGTGTAGCGGTCATGTATCTGTGCCCTTTCGTAGAGCCTGCCGTAGCGCCTATTCTCACATATTTGCGCGCTGAGTCTCTCCGTCGTACCACGGCCAATCTCGAAGAGGAATGGAGCTCTTAGTTTTAGTTTTTTATTGTGAACAGAAACTTTCGCCCCAGGCGGGACTAGAACCCGCACCTCTCGCTTTCCGGGCAAGTGCGCTACAAGTTACGCTACCGGGCACCATTTCATCCCAACTCAGCTTTTCATGGTATATTTATGGTCTTATTGGTCAGACGACACCAAACTGCACAGTGAACCATCACGGTGAAAACTTCAGCAATTGATTTTGACATATTTTTGATTGTTAACTGCTGTTTTTGGCCGCAGTTTGCCTTGCAAAAGTTTCACAAGAATGTTGAGTTGTGGTTCGAGTTACACGTGGGGCGAAAGTTTTGTTCACGGCTGGAGTCCCGTCTGGGGCGAAAATTTTGTTCACAACCTAGCATTCTTGTGTAAGTAATTTGAGTGTTTTTAATGACTTCTTTTGCCTCTTCTTCACATTCAGCCCACCCCACCTCCACCTTGATGAGTGAGCGCTAGCACACAGCAACTTCATACTGGGGAGTGCCTTGATAATGTAAACGTTTCAAAGTTTGTTTTGAATTTCTCTGCTGAGACGATCGCCTTTGCATAGCGAAAGTTGTAGGCTTCATGTAGCAAACTTGTTAGGTAAAACAAATATGGATAATTATTTCACACTGTCACGAGCAGAGCTTATTTGCCTCATTCTATGGTAACATGAGAATGTGGTTGGCAAAAAGAGGCGATTTATTGCTACAGTTCAGGGAGTCGAAAGATGTAGAGGCACGAGACCGTGATGGCCGTCATTCTGAGTTGTGTCGGATAATAAGTGCCATTGCATCCGTATAGTGAACGAGGTGGGAGGAACGTAACCTAAACGTGTTCAGTACGTCAGCTTCCAACCGAAAAAAATACAATAATCATCGCGATCTGCAATGCTGAGGTGAAGAAACCAACTCTTCAATACTTGATTCAGCTTGTTTGGCGTGAACTTGAATTTTGTTCCAGGAGGCATTTTCAGTAACCTCCCCTTCAAAAAGCGAGAAAGTGTCGGGTGCAGACCAAACACCACAACTGACGACGGCCTCCAAGTAAATCTGGTTAGGTTGTTCATAGTGATAGCTGATTTCTGGTAAATGATAGTTGTAATTAGTGACAATCGATAGAATACAACTGCAACAGGCTAATCATTTCATTGGCAGAAAACATTAACATTTTGTGAAGGCCGTCGTCACTTGTGGTGCATGGTCTGCACCCGACACTTTCTCGCTTTTTGAAGGGAGGGTATGTTTGTCGGCATTCTGTGCCATTCAATGAAGGAACTCATTGTTTGAGACAAGAACTGCTGCCGTGATACTCTACTGACGAATGTTTTCCTGCATGAGAAGCACACAATGAGACTATTCACTTTCCTTAAAGGAGGATTGCACGGAAAGAACGAAGGTCGAAGAAGGGAGAAATCGCCTAGTGGGGAGAGCGGTGAATCTCTTGAGGGTGCGACTGACGCGCAATTGGCATCGAAAAATTTGACCTCGGCGATCCTAGCATGGCTCAAAGTTGGCGGGTCGGCGATCTCCGCCCACCGATCATCTGATCACTCGCCGTAGTTCAATACGTGGCGAGTGATTAGATAGCTGAGAGAGCGTAGTGTTGAAGAGGGCACAGCGATGAGAGTCGCATCAATGCTCAAATCAACGGGCAAGGAAGGGGTCCCATTTCTCGGGTTCTGGGCCGTTTCTCATGGTTTCTTCCTTCTTTCGTGTACCACTCACCATCCCTAGGTTAATTTGAAATGGGTTGCTTTTCCATCGTAAATTCGTCCTTTAAGGGAGATATACAGTGTGTCCCAAAAGTATAGGGGCACCCTATTTTTCTTTAGTCCTCTGTTACAAACAAATGATTTCTCTCCAAGTTTCTATTAACAATGCACCATTTCACCAGGGTACAAGTATATAAGTGAGATCGGAAAGAATAAATTTTGGTGAAATGGTGCATTGTTAATAGAAACTTGGAGAGAAATCATTTTTTATGATTCCTTTTCTAAAATCATGGCATCCTAAACGTATAGGGCACTCTTCTTCTACAGTGTTCCTGACTTACGTAAAACCAATTTGTCACTGCTCTACTTCCCACACTTGTTCTACAGTGCCATGCCACGAGGAATGCACCTACACGACTTTGAGAAAGGCCAAATTCGGGTTACAAGGATATGGGACTCAGCCACCGCAGCATTTCAAGGAAATTAGGGCGATCAATCAACTTGGTGAGTAATTAACTCACATTTTGTCCTTTATACTTTAAGCGACTTTGAAGTGTTATGTTCACTCTCTCTTCCAGAGTTCTGTTGTCCTTGTCCCAGAATTCACTAAACACACAAAATGGTCGGAAGACTTTTTCTAAGATGTACAGCGAAATTTTTTACAGAAGTTATCACGAACTGTGTCGCTGTGACCTTAAGACTGACATTCTTCACACTATGTAGTGTAACTGATTCCTCCAATGCCAATTGAGCCGTTGCATTACTCCATTCCTGTATGCAGTTTTTCTCAGACTGTTGTGGAGTATGTTTTGGACGTTAACTTGTTAGATGAACATATTCGGACTAACCAGAAATGGGTTATACCGTCTATTAATATCCATGAACGTCGAAGTTAGGTTAGCGGGGAGAGGTGTCCTGCCTGGAAAGTGTGCTTCTTGGAGCAAGAACATCGTTGAGGTAATCGGCTAGATGAGTTGCAATACTATAAGTGAACAGCGCTCACGCTGGGCGATGACGTCAGCAAGGAAGAACGTAAGCAGTACGAGAAAGAGAACCATTTAGATTGTGGCAGATTGTCTGATCACCTTCTATTTATAGATAATGATTATGTCCTTTAGCTGAACATGATTGTGCGGCCAGAAACTAGAAAGGCTATTTGTTTGTACAGCATTCGAATATTTTGCAGAACGATCTGCGCACAATCCTTGCTATGGTATCATTGTACACATTCTATGTAGGTAGATATACATATTGTACTAGCCGGCGATGTGCAGAAATTCACTGCAAAAGTACACAGGCCTATACTTGCCACCACCACTTTAATTTACCCTAACGAAATGAAAGTGTCGGATGACGCCGAATGCCGAGTGCACAGCTCGTCATCAAGTGGACCAATGACATGTGCTTCAATTTCCATTCACCACAACACAGAAGTGAATTCGAGACAGATCTAGAGGTTTCCCAAAGGAACTGTCCAAAATGCAGGAGGGATATCATTGCTTGTGATTTCAGAGCTGTCATCTTGGCAGAAAAAAGTCCATAGAAGCGACTACATTCGATGAAGGAGTAACAACGCAACAATCTCGGTGCTTTTCCAACAGTGACGCACCCAACTTTTTCGCGCTTCCCAGCCATTGCGACTTTTGCGTTTGACTTAGCTTTCGATTTTAGATTTACCATAGGTTTTCAGCATTTTTAGCAGGCTGCATTTTGGCATACAGCATCAGTCAACTTACACCAGCGCATCCGTTTTCAACGTATTCCGGTACCATTCCGCTTTTATTAGGTTGTCCCATAATTAGTGAATCACTTTACATTTATTGTTATTAAAAATCCAAGAAAAATGGTGAAGGCGTGAAACATGTTTTGCGAAGTAGCATCCACATTATCCTACCTGAGCAATCAGCCCATTTACATGCTGCCTTCCGTGGCTGATATTTCAATTTTTCTGGAACCTATTTTTGAGCTCCCTTCTTAATCACTTCTGATTAGGATCTTTCAAACGCCCAACAACATAGAGAATCAACCAGCAGATAGGCGAGGGCACGCTCCGTC